TAAAAGGTTGAGCTTCGTTGGTGTGAAACATTTCACAGATTACAATAATATCTGGAGGAACATCAGTGATTGTTCATAACGCTCTTATTTTTGAGTGATGCATGAGTTACCACCCTCATGCTTCTGATCAACACACCTGATGCTTTTCAGCCATTCTGTTGCAAATAAATGTTGAGGTGAGTTAATTTACTCCTAGCCAGAAATGACTGTCTTATTAGAGTTGAAAAATGTTGAAGAATTTTGTTTTCATTTTGAAATTTTGTGATTGTCAGAATTAATATTGAAAACGCATCTGAAAAACAGGCTGTCTGTATTTATACAGTTTGTTTTTCAGTAGAAAACTCTGAAAACCATTTCTCACCTTTCTTCAGTTTCAAAAATAAAATCTCAAAGTCTATTTGAAAGTAAGTGACGGTAAATATAAAAAATCATTTTACAAGCCAATATCATTTATTCGGTTTGTTTTCCTGTAGGTAATTACAATTATTTCACCGGCTCAGTTCTGTGTAGAGTTAGCAAGTGTTGCATTAACCAGTTTATTAAATTTAAGCATCTGCTAAAGTTTTTTGTATGTCATTGTGCTTTATAATTTATTTTTGCATTATTTTCTCTTGGTTATTCAATGCTAAAGCAACAAAACCTATTCCAAACTATTTGACTGGTGTTTACCTATTTACGACTCCAAGCTTTCATTCGGATCACTCAGCAGTCCTTAGCATGCAGTAATCTCAGTGCTACAATAATAAACACATCCATACAACCATGAAAGGAGGAGATTAGGATACAGGATCTTTTCTTAGCATTTTCTGACCCAACTCTTTCCCACCACAGTCACCGTTCGGTGAAATCCGAAGCGTCTTTTTTGCTCAATTTCTTCTGTCTTGCCATTCGTACCCAATAAGATGACTCACAGGGAGGACGATGCTCGGAAACGTGACAGCATAGTCCTGTTTTGGCTTTGCTTTACAGCTTGTCTGGGGGATTGAACACAATACCTCACCCAATGAGAGCAGGAAAGAGGATGCTAAACCCCTGGGTTTAAAGGAATTCAGCAGCTTATGAAGCTTCGTACTGGCAGCGGGGGGTGGAGGGGGTCAGGGGGACTTAATCTTCCAGTGCAAGCCAACACAAGTTTCAGGTGGTCGAGCTCCTTGATCACTGCACCATGAGAACCACCTGAACGGTCAGTAATGGGGGAGGGTGGGAGCTGAGGATAGGAGGAGTGTAAAAGTCCAGGATGTCATGGTAACTCACCCCTGGCCCCAACACTCACAAGGCATCCCACTATCTCTGCACCGTTGACTTTCTAATTCAATGCAATCAAATTATTCAATGTTGCTTTCTGTACGCGAGTGCCTCAACATAACTCATGTAAAAGCAACATCTGGCACGCAACAGGAGCATGCCGTCATGTGCTGCAGTTGTCGGCACCGCCGCGGTCTGTGGTTATAATTCAGTCTTTGCGTTCGTGACCTCTAACGAGCACAAATGTGTGTCCAATAATGTTGCGACCGTAAGACAGAAGGTTGGCAAACATGAAACCCAGATAGATCAAAAGTTATGGATCACCGCAATGACTGGAGAGTTCAAAACCGGTGAACCTCACAGGGTGAGGGACTGTCCAGGTGCTCCAGTGTTCAGGTCAGCTCAAACCATGTCAATGGCAGGGGGTCCAATTTATTATAATTTTTTTTTTTTTTTGTAATAGATCATCTCTGGAGAGAGGACTACGTTGTAAATAATAGAACACTGTAAGCAGTTTAAAGTTTTCTTTCTGAACATGTTGATTTATCGCCATTTCAATGGTTTAGCTATGTCACTCTTGAACATTTTCACATGTTATTTCATGCAGCGACCGCAATATTAAATGTATTTTATTTGTGCCTAATGGAAAAAGCAAAGGAACATCGGTCATGGTTGAGAGGAGGAGATGAATAGATGGCAATACTTGGAGAGAACCTGACAGAGGTCTAAAAAGATCTAAGGCAAGAATGTAGATTAAAGAAAAAGGACTCACTGAGTGTCACAATGGAAGAGTTTAAATCAAAGACCTAAATATAAGATATATAAAATTCAACGGAAAGCAATGAAAACAAAATCTATTACAGTTGAATGCAATGTGAAAAGAATTAAAGGGTTATGAATATTTTCGCAAGGCACTGTACTGAGTGAATTACTGAATGAGGAAGGAAAACATAAACAAGCAAAACTAAAGATAAAATGAAAAAACAATTGCTTTAAAGAAGACTGTCAGACACAAAAACCACTACTGATAAAACAAAGTGTCATCATTTTCAGCTCCCAAAACTCACAGACATCTTTAAGCTAAAATGCAAAACACAAGAGCGCAGCAGCTTAAACACAGGCGATGCGCCGTTCGTCGCAATTGATTGCTTCCATATGAAACTCTGTGCTCAGTCACGTTATTTTTTTCTTCTTTTCCTTCAGATTTTGACCTTTCCTGCATGCAGCCCAATTGGTGCAATAAGAAAGCAAACATTACAACGTACTGCCGCCATGACCTTCTGCTCTAAAAATATGGCCCATTCAGTCGGCATAATGATTGCTACCATGGCTTGAATAAAATTGTGTGTTATTACGTGTTGATGGTTACCTGGTCGCGGGGAGGTTTCTGCTAAGAAACCCTTGCAAGTGTAGTTTTCGTTGTCATTGTCTCGGTGTCTCAAGATTTTCATCCAGGAATCGGCAGAACTAATTTCTTCCTGAGGATTAAGCCACAGCGTTGTGTATCTGCCGGTGCAGAGCTCAATCAACAGCAGCAGGTGTGAGTGCGTTTGCATTTCGGACTATGCTCTTGTAGCCGGAACAGCAGTAAGAATCTGCTTCTGTCCATGCTTCGGTCAAGCGTCTTGATAAACCCACGTGTGGTGCTGTGTCCTATCCAAAGCAAAGAGCTTCTATGGACAATACAGGCTCAATTAAATAATGACCTGTCGGTCTTTCCAACATGATGAAGGAATGTGCAACCTCCCAAAAATGACGTGGATCAAATAGGATCTTTTAAGCAACACATCTCGTTCAGATTTTTTCTAATTTAGCTGATTCCAATTTCAGACAATTGATCAGACGACAACAACTCTGTGGAAGTAAAGCCTTTGTTCCCTTGTCGATTGAAATACTTCATTTGGGATTTTCCTTTTTGCTTGGTCTGACTGTGGAACACGTAGCTATAATTTAATCCCTTGCACTAGGTTGTTCATGTAAAGATGGCTGCACACAAAAACATGGAGACACCTGGTTGTCAGCGACTGGCAGAGAAGGTCTCTCCCATTAACAATAACATCCGTCAACTAATGAGGACATGAGCAGCTGCACTTAACCCAAATGAGCTATCCAGTAAAGTCGTATGGAGAGTCTTAAGATGCAGGAAGGACGATAAAATCCATAGCTGGTAAATAAGAGGGTAAAGGGATTTAAAGAAGGCAGCCAGACGCTTTGGCCTCTCTGTGTCGTGCGACATTGGCCCAAATAACATCATGCAGGGGGATAGCTCATTATTTTCTCTCAAACTAACTTAATAACATCATCGTCATTTTGATCATTTTTATTCTAAAATCTTTTTCAGCACCCTCCACACTTCTTGGCATTCATGTTGCAAATGTGTTCGACAGCCTTAAATGTGTCTATTTTGTAGACTGAACATAAAGAAGAAAACAACCTTCATTTTACCCTCGGAGCTAACTGGGATAAATGCTTTTTTTTTTTTTTTTAAATCAGAAGAACCAAACTTATTAGCACCTCGGCTGTGAAAGCTTTGCATAGAATCCTTTCGCCGACAGGACAACACTTGGTCTTCTCATACAGAGCGATGGAACCTTGGACATTTCTTTAAACTCTCAGAGTCCTGTTTTGCGGATTCAAGCAGCCATCAACTCTATATGTTGTTCATGTACCTTTTCTTTCTTCCACAGGTTTTTTCTTTCATCTATGGCGGTAGGTGTTTGGTCCTGTACCAGCTGGGTTGCCAATTCAAACACCCACGCTGTCTGTCTCAGTCACTGAGTCTTTGGACAAGACACTGCATCTGTCTTGGCTGCTGCTAGTGGTGGTCAGAGGGCCTGGTGCTTATCTGACTGCTCCAGCACAGTTATGGCTGCAACGTCACTTACCTCCATCAGAATGTGAATGGGTGTGTGTGAATGGGTTAATGACTCAATATAGCGCAACTTTGGAGTCCTCTGGACACTTGACAAAGCACCATATATGTACGGGCCACATGTCGTAAATTTCCACATATATCTCATGTAGCACGCCTACACAAGAGTGACCAACTAGACTATTTTACTGTTAAAGAAAAATAGTCTGCTTTGGACTACCCATTTCATCCTGCCCATTAATTTGACATAAGTTACTGCATTTTAAGTGACTGCGGGTGGAGGCAGAATGAGTGGAATAAGAACCACCCTGCCAGAGACTGTCTCCTGGAGGAATGTAAATATCATCAGTATTTGATTGCGCATAGGGCCCAACCATGGTCATGACATCTAGGTATTTAAATCTCCTTTTAATTCGTCAATAGGAAAAAAAAAATAATCTCAGTTTTTTTGTTGTTGTTGTTGTTCTTGTTTATTTACAAGAGCATCATCAAAATCAAAACTGTGTGTGACTCATTTCTACCCTATTATGTCATCACAAACTTCACTTCTTGAACTGAGTTACTGGATGACATGATTGAGACGCACCTGCATGCAGGCCGCTGAAACATAAATCCCTGGCGATGAAGGAGTTTTTTTTTTTCTCCCGGTTGCGACTGATTTTCCCCACATCGGCTGGTCTTCACTCGGAAAGCATTTAAGCCCCCCATGTGTGGCTTAAATGCTCACCATTGGCTCCGGATCTTGTAGGGGCGTTGCTTCACCGTTATTCAGCGCTTTGGGTGCACCGAGGGGTGCTGAAGAGGATGGCCAGGGGAAAGCTTACTTGGCACTGATCCCTCCTTTCAGTAAAGCACTGCAGTTTACATTTGGCAGCAGTATTTATTTTTTTTTTTTTTTGAATGGAGTCTGGGGGAGTGTATGTAGGGGGGGAGGAAAGAGAGGAGAGGATGAATGTGTCATAAACACGGATAATTTTGCAGAGGCCAGTGAGTGCACGTTTTCAGCAATGCGATGAGGCCAATGCACTTTGCGAGAGTTGCGCTGCAGAGAGCCTCCGCGGATCCCACGACCTGTTGCTGACAAGCCGGGGGGGGGATAAGGAGAAGCAGACGGAGAAGTCGGGGTGGAGGGAGAAAGCCGCGCCGCGCCGCTCGGCAGAGACGGAGGGTAGGGTACTGCCTTTGGACGGACTCTGCGTGCAGGAAATCATGCATCTTGCAATCTGGCTGGTTGGACTAACGTGTCATTTGTCAGCGCTCGCCAGGGAAACTCTGCGGTACCGGTTGCATCCGAAACAAGGTAGGCTATGTCTGACTCTAGTCGCCTCCGCTTGTCACAAGGGCGGAACGTGTCACTCATTACGGCGACACCTTGATTGCCGCCGCGTCGCCCTCTCAAATCCCTGCGTGTCGTTGCAGAGAGCCTCGTCAAGCAGCTGTCATCGTATGAAATCATCACTCCGCTCCGAGTGAACGACTTCGGAGAATCGTTCCCGCACAAGCTGCACTACAGGAGGAGACGGAGGAGTTTGAGTGATGACCTGTCGGGCTTGCGGCTTCTCTACCGGATCGACGCGTTCGGGGAACGCTTCCACCTCGACCTGAGCGCGGACTCCAGCTTCATCGCCCCGTCCTACACCGTGACTCACTTGGGAGCGGAGCGGAGCGGCGACGCGGACTCGCACTCCCACGACCCCGGCGACATGCGGCACTGCTTTTTCCGCGGGCACGTCAACGCGAAGAGCGAGCACCCCGCTGTGTTCAGCCTGTGCACCGGCCTGGTGAGTCCCGCTGGCTCTCCCGTTTCTTATTTTTTTTTTATGTTTTATTTTATTTTTCTCTCTCTTTCTCTCTTTAATCAAGCGATGCTGACATGCTTTCTCCCATTTCAATGGATCCCATCCATGCATATCGTGCAGAACCCGCAGCCTGAGTGAAGCGTGTAACAGTGTAACAGGAGCAAGTGCTGCTGGACTAATGACGGAGGGAATCCATGAACTCTGTCACCTGTGGGGTGATGCGGTCTAAAGGTTGAGGTTTTTGACTTTGATCTGATCAGTTTAAACCTCATTTTTGTGGGTCCTTGCAAAAGCACCCAGACCTCCCTAATGACGCCATATTATGCACACACAAATCATATAGGGAGCACAACATGATAAATGAGCTATGTTAATCTTTTTTTTTGTGAAATTTTGTGTGGCAGAAAATAAGCACACCATCACCACTGGGAGATATGATGGCGGTGGTATCATGCTGTGGGTATGTTTTACTTCAGGGAAGCTGGTCAGAGCTGATGGTTAAAGGATCGAGATAAATACAGAGTAAACTTGGAAGAAAAGAAAAAGCTGTTAGAAGCTGCAGAAAATTTGAGATCAGGGATGGAGATTCACCTTTCGGCAGGAGCCTGACATTGAAGATACAGCCAGGGATGCAACGCAACGGTTTATGTCAATGCATATTCTTGTCATAGAGAGGATGTCCCAATCTGATATCAATATCGGAAATCAATCCGAGATCAGACAAGAAATGAGCATTACCATTATCTTCACCTGAATCTGAACTCTTAGATAAAAGCACTCTATCCAGTACAGCATTTCTATCCAGCAGCACATGAATTAACCAGCAGACCCACTGGTTACTAATACTTATTGTTACTGCCTTTTGTTCATTTGATCAAGCCTTTTGTAGCATTTCACAGTACAAAGCAAATAGGTATGCCTGATTGATTCTGATATTGTGCTGGGTCAATATCGATATCGTCCAGCGCTCAAATCTGCAACATCGGTATCATGTCGGAAGGGAAAAGATTGAAACAGGACACCTCTCGTAGAATGGCCCAGTCGAAGTTCAATGGAAAATCTTTGGGAAGGTTTGAGAGTAGCTACTTTATTTGATTTGACTAAGCTTGAGCTGTGTTAAAAACCAGGTGTGTGCTTCGTACGATAATAAATGTGAAACGTTTCAGAATTATGAGAGATCAAGATCAGTTTTTACTGAGCTTTCAAGTAGGTCTTTCTAAATTTTCGTTTGAGTATTTTGACTTATTTTCATTCCAGTACCTGACCACACTCAGAGTAATGTGTTGTGTGTGTGTGTGTGTGTGTGTGTGTGTGTGTTTGGAGATGCTTTTCTCCAATCCATGAGCCATTCAGACATGAAAAGACTTTTTAAATTCAAATGATGAGCCAGTATTTTGTCTACACATACCAGACAACTTAGCAGAGATTCAGTTTTAAATAGTATCTTTAGACACTTTGTGGCAGTCTGTTAAAAAAATAAAATGTTCCCATATTTTGTTGAATCTACAAAAAAAAAATACCAGAGATAACACAGTTTCAGGTGGAGTTCTCTGAGAGTCTTGACATGGCAAACGAGAACTGAAGTAGATTTTCACAAAGTCTACCAACAAAGAGAGGTCATTTGTGGAAAGTGGAAGCTTTTTCCCGGTCCTCCCTTTCTTGCAGTACTTCTGTGATCTTCTTGTTTGGTTTAGAGCTAAAGTGGGAAGTAAGTTTTGGTTAAGGTTAGAAATAAGGTAGTAATGGTTAAACTTTGGGAAAATGTTTGGGTTGAGCATGAATGTTACTTAAATGAATGAAACCCAATGCGAAGTCCTCACTTTGTGTGTGGGTGTGTGTGGTGCCGCTGCAACAGTGAGACCGTTTTGTGTTACTATTTGGCTTGTTTGTAAGATTCCTTTCACCCATTGTAACATCAGCGTGACTCAACATGAGTGACATAATCTGAAATCCCAAACAACCTCATGAAACGATTGCTGACAAATGATGTCATTTGCCTTTTGATCACACTTGGTTGATGATTCCTAGTAAACAGTTTTGAACCCACAATATATATAAATATACGTTTTTTCTGTTTTATTTGCTGCAAACTTAATAAACCAGCTGACAGACGCTGAAATGTGTCCCTCAAGTCGTCTTTGAGGGTTATGACTTTTTTTTTTTCTCTTCAGATTTACCAGTTTAAAAAGTTTACTATGAGCCAGTAATACAGTTCAGGAGAGTGGTGGGTTTATAATTCCAATATTAATCATGCGGGAATCCTCCGTGCTGGACTGATTTAGTTTGCTGACTCCTGTGGGAGAGAATCTGATAAGTGCTGAAGGGGATGACTTCATGGGTCACATGAGGTTACTGGACCAGGAGCAAGGGGGTTGACCTCAGTCGCACCAGCGGGATCCTGTGTGGGGGGTGGGTACAGGGTGACCGTAGACTTAGAGTCTCACTATTCCCGTTGCGGCATCTATTTCAGTGATGCAATTCTTATTTTTGGACAGTTGTTGCAAGTACAGTTTAGAGAGGGACAGGTGCCTCGAAAACTAAGTCAAAAGTAAAACAAATAGAACTTTTTCATCTAGATGACAAGGTGTCGCGGAATTACCAGGTTAATGAGCACTTCGTTACTTCTTTCCTCATTTATCCAAACAGGTTTGCTTCCTTTTTGTAAACATATCGCTCACTGAGGATGACAGGACAATAGACGCGGCACCAAAGGCTGCTGGGTCATAAATGTGTTTTCATCTGTTCACTGGGGCTTGCTGGTCTGGCCCGCATTGTGTTGAGATGAGGTCATTAAAGAATAATTAAGCCATAAAACAAAGGGGTCATTCTAGGAAAATGCAGGTTTCCCATTTTCGTCCGGAGTTACTCAAAGCCATCCCCAGGGGGCGATTGATGAGGGGAGAGGGGGCCGGGGGGGCACGGAGTTCAGGGAGCTCTTTGCTCTTTTCAAAGTGAGCTCGCCGTGATGGACAGAAAAGAGGAGAAAGCTCTACAGCGGAGACAACCGCCACTGAAGGTTTTGCGGGGAACTTAAGGATTGCTCACACCGTGGGAAATGCTTGTTCCCTGCGGAGCTGGCGCTCTCGGTTTTCTCCCATAATAGAAGTGTGTGATGGGTCATTCTGCCCTGAGAAATGGTTCCATCTTCTAAACGACGTAAAGATCAGGATCCCGACTCTTCTACGGGCCCTTTCCCTTCAGGGGTCATCACAGTGTTTTGGATGACTCAGCACAAGAAAGGGGGATGAAACCCCCCCAAAAAAGCCATTTCATCTTAGTTCAGATAGAAGCCAGTCGGTTGTGAGGTCCAGTTCAGCTCTCCTTTCTAGCCAAACGTCTGGGAGATTTACTGAGCCAACACTGGGAAACTAAAGCTTTGCCTCTTTCTTGTGATGCAACAGGTCATTTGTGTTCTCAGACTGCTGCTAGTAGAGAGTTGTAGGATTAAATCGGATTCACGATACATAGCATTGCAAGAAAACAGGCACCAGCTGCCTTATATTTAATTATAAAGTGCTTAAGTGTGCAAAAATGTGGTCTCGCTTAAATATTCTGTAATGTGCACATCATTAAAAATAATCTCGCTAAACATTAAATTGCAGCAATTTTCATGTAATTCTTATTCCTACAAAGCTTTAGTAACAAATCATCGAGAGTTACACTTCATCTCTTACACCTTAACATCAGATTAAGTTGTTTTAAAATGCAACAGGCGAACAAAGGTGTAAAAATGTTTATTTTTATTTTAACAAGTAGGTTGTGCACAGATTATCAGTTGACAGCACATCAGCTCAGACGTTCAGCTAAAAAAAAACGAAACGTCTTTTAGCCAAACAAAAGTCTTTGTTCGTTTTAGAGAGATACACCTAAACACATTTCAGTGCCATTAGTGCAGTGCAGACTTGCCAACTACAATTAATTTATTAAATTTTATATATTTTTTTAAGAACTGTTTTAAAATGTTTAAAAGATCATTTTTTGAATTTATCAAATTTTTTGAGAGTTTTGAGTTTTCATTACTTGTAACCCATCACCAAAAGTCCCCCCAAAATACAGGCTTTCATTCGATATGTACTTAATCTGTAAGCTATAATACATTTAAACTTCTGAAATGAAAAACAAACCTTTTCACAAACTTCAACATGTTATTGTGGAATGTGCAGATCGCTTGTTTCAGCTGGAGAGCCTCGTGAATGTAATCAAAGGGGTGGCCGAATGCAAATAGCAGATTTGCCCTCAAGATTGTCATATTACTTGACATTCTGCCATTGTGGATATGATTAGATTGCAGTTCTGGCCTGTGGCCAGTGTGTCCAGTCCTACTTTATGTCCTCTGATGATCAAATCCTTTAGATGACTAAGCAATTTCATTTGGCTTCTTAGCTCCTCCTTGGAGAAGCCAGAACTGTGATGTGCTGTCCTCATCATTTTCAACCAGGGCTAACATTCTGTGCATGCTGAAGAGAGTGGCCTAACTCTACATTTGGGGAACAAAGTGAGCTCACCGTGCACAACAGCAGACATTGATAGACTATGTTAACACTGATTTTTAACCAACAGTTTTATGGTTAACTTCATCCTCATTGAGTTCTTGGAACTGAAAAATGACCGGGTAAGGCACAAGAAGGTGTCTAAGTTTGACATTCTGTGGTCTCGTAACACTGCACTGGAAGGGTGTTGAGAACAAATTGTGAACAAATCCTTCCACTCTTAGTGAACAAACAGTTTGTACTTGTTTTCCGTATCCGATCCGTACGTTTCCCGCTGTCAAATGCCCATCACCTGTAGGGACGGCTGTGGTGTAACACTCCTGTAAAGATAACATTCCAGGGTCCAATATCCGGCTTAAGTGTGCGCATGAAATTACCATGCAAACACCACCGTGCCTCATGGCTCAAAGCGCTAAGAGGCTTTGAGAGAAGCTGAGCTGCCAAATCAATATTAGCATTCCTCTGTCAGCAGCTCTCTCCTTTTATGATGATGTCACTCCTCCCACTGTCAGCGTGTGAGGAGGGAAACACATTTCCAAAGTGGTGAACACATGGCAGATCAGCTTCTGCGCAGACGCACGAGGTTGTTCACACAGTTGCAGGGCACCGCTTGCTTATTGATGAAAGCATAAAAAGGTGCACAATGTTTGAAAATGCCCCGTTACTGTCGTGGGTAAAAGTTCAAGAGTGACTCAAAGTGAGCTTTGACAAGAGATTTCTGATTAGGTATGTTCTTTCCATTCGTTCCCGTCAAAAGCAGACAAACTCTTTAAGAGTTTCGCCTGAGGCCATAAGAGCGTTACTTTAGTTACAATGAAAGTCAGTCGTAAACTGAACCCCGCAGAGCACACACAGTATATGCTCTCACATGCAATCACACGCTTTGTGCCAAGGCCGTGAATGACGTCTCTTTCCTCTCCGTCAGGTTGGAACATTTACGACGCAGCACGCCGAGTACTTCTTGGAGCCACTTTTGAACGTGTCTGACGCGGAGTACGAAGAAGAGCACAACAAACCGCATCTCGTCTATCGCCACGAGAGGAGACGAAACACCTCGCATCCCGATGAACCCTGTGCTGCCTCCGGTAACAGACAGCCTCGCTCATTTGCCTGTAACCACAGTCTGTCTGAGTTTCATCCTCAAACACTTACCTCCTCATTACCTGCGCACACTTCTCTGAATCACGGCCTTTAATGTTGCCTTAAAATTGTAATTCTTGTCAGTCACAGTCACAGTTTTTGTGTGTCTAAGATACCTAAAAAATTTCAGCCTTGATTAAGGGGTTTTAATGAAAGCCTCTCTCAACTTAATTAAGCAAAACTGGCTCCAAGGGCTATTTGCTGTTTGTTGCTTTTCTTCTGATGGATAAATCTTTGCCAAGTTCTCTGGCAGAAGCTCAGACAAGGTTAGAAGTAATTGCAATTTAGTTTGGAGTTGCATTTAAAAGAACTCGGAGGGGTGGTGGGGGGGATAGTTTTCCGCCCGAGAGCCTGCTTGTGAGTTCCCCCTGTTTCCTTTAGAACTTTTATGGGATCTGGGTGGCAGAAAAAGCAACGTGACTAAGTGAAGTTCACCTCGATGGAAGACCCTCCCTGAACTCCTCAAAGGCAGCTCTCAAGGTGGCCCTTTGTTGCATAATGCAATAAATCTTTCATGGGCAGAGCTCTTGAGTTGCTTGCTGTCTGGCTTCGGTCTTTGTGGTGAGATGGTGGCCATTGTCTGTGGACTGACCTGGAGAGCCAGGCCAATGACGCCTTATGATGCTTTGCCCTCTTACGCTTTTGGCCTGTGTGTGTGGCAAACAGAGTCTGGGGCCAGAGATGTTCACTGCACCCCCACTCTGGAACATGTTTAAGTATACTCAACCTTTAGAAAAACACCAGACGCCTCATCATACATTCATTTCGTATTACAAATTCTGCTTCCTGGATCTTTCGCCCTTTGCTCTGGGGTCTTAACCCTCGTCCAATTGTGACCACCTCAGTACTTGTACTCTAGACAACTTCAGCCTCTACAAACACATACAAGTATGGACATACATACTTATAAGTCTGCACAACTACTTGCTCTTACTAAGAAGCATGTGGCAAATGACAGATTCTGAATTTCAACAGCGACTTCCATAGACAATACGGAGAACTGCAGAATCATATTTAACCTGGTTAAATTTGATCAAGGTCAAAGATTGGAGTAAATACAGCATAAAATGTTAAACTGGTGGCTTCTTTTAAGATGGGTTAAAATGTGAGGTTGTGTGAAAGCAATGTTTGGTTTGTAAACCTAACATCTGGTCTTGTCAGCCCTTTGGCAGTGAAAACTGCTGTCAAGTCCTGGTGATGGACGGTTTCACTGCGGTGGGATTTTGGGCCAATTTTGGACAAGTTTTTTATTTATTTTCTGAGCCATTCAGAAGTGTTCTTCCTGTTCCTGCAGTGTGCTTGTGTTTAAGATCGTAATGGGCAAACTCCTCCCAACAATCTACATCCAAAGGTTTTTTTTTGCAAGTCTTGGTCCTCATCAAGATTTTTTTGTATTTTTGGCCATCAGTGGCTTATACTTTGAAATTCTCCCATTGATGCCATTTTTACCCAATCTCTTCCTTACAATTAAACCTTGAACACTTACCTTTGCTGGACAGCCGACTTGTCCAGGGTGTACTGCACTTACCCAAAGACTGCTTGTGTAAAGATGGGGAAGGTTAAACTGTCCTGGGAAAAGTGAGGCCTGGAGCGCTTTTTATGTTGTTTTGGGTTCTTTTGTGACCTTCTGACTGAATCGTGGATTGGGTCTTGGAGCAATTTTGTTAGGTTTTTTGAAACCATTCCAGAGGGATATATGTCAGTTACTTTGTTTTATGTTTGTTCTTAATGTGTTGCAATTTGAGACATTTTCGCCTCATTCATGTGGACAAGTATTTTTTCAATTTCCAGGGCTGACTTCAAAGTGTGGCTTGTGAAGTTGAACTTGTTCTTTTTAGGTCTATTTACCATCTGTGTCTTTCTGTTTCCCACACCCTTTCCAGTTTTTTTCTTAATTTCTTTATAATTTGTACGTCTTTGGGCTCTGAGTCAGACCGCAAAGTCGTAAAAGTCGATCGTGCAACAATATCCCTCACAATCTTTCACTTTTAATTACAACTTTCTGTAATTGTAGACCTCACAAATAATCAATGTACAACAAATAACACTTTCTGGTGCATTTAAGAGGTGGGAGATAGGAAGAAATGTAAATTTCCCAGCACACCTGTGGGGCTTCATCAAAGGAAAGCGAAGTAAACACAGTGGAGGAGGATTAAAAGAACCAGTGATCCCAACTTAGGATTGTGAGGTGACCCAGGCTACCACTCCTCAGCTTTATCAGATAGGAGCCTCTCTCAGATGGAGTGATAAAAGGTGCTCTTTGAACGCCACATTGAGTCAAGACTAACAAGCCTGTCATGTCTTTTTATGGGAAGGAGAGCATAGCACTCTGCTACTCGCGGGTCCGACATAAACCGTGACTTGACGCGTGTCGTTCTGCTTGCAAAACACTTGTAGTTGCTACTTTTTGAATTGACATTTGCAAATCTCGTAGTACAAGGTTTGAACTGCTTTCGCATTTTCATTAATGAAGTTTGATTTCAAGTAACTCAATGCCATAGGTTGTTCTCTACAACCAATTACACATTGTGTCTAATCATCATTTTAAAAAAAACTATGATTTTTCCAACCACATCTTGCAACTTCGTTGTTTAGTATGTAACTTTTTAAGAATCATAAATGGCATCTCTAAAGAAACCGGCATCACATAATTTTGAATACTGCAAAATGGAGTTCAAGTTTCAATCTGCCTTTAGCAACTGAAGAATAGCAGTCTCTGTTCGTATTCCTTGATTTAAGGTACTTAACTATGACTCTTTAAGATTTCAAAAAAGTTTACCAGCCTTTCCAAATCCTAAACATTCCATGACAAGAGTTTGAAAACCCACATAGACAAGTCACAGCAACTTTGTAGTTTTACTTTTAGCCTACCTAGTATCTCCTGTTATCTCTTCTTCTATTGTGGCATTAAATAAAACAGACATGTTGCAGAAAATTGTTTCCCTTTAAACAGCTACCTATACCTCATGTTGTCACTTAAATGCCTCGCCGACAGTGAAATAAGCAAACTGTGTGTCTTCACACAGTAACCGTTTCCTCACCAAAGGGAGTTATTGTCACTGTGGCCTGGTAGCTCATGTTACAGTGTGTTCACTGATTGGGCAGAGCTCACATAGTCTCATTCCTGACAGCATATAATTTCTCGGTGCAATTTCAAACATTTCCGTCTTAAAGTCTTAAAGATTGTTTTCTAGCTTTATGTCCAATATATAGCGGACAAACTAAAGAAAACGTAATTTCTGCTCAAATGTACAGATATTGTAATTTTTAGTTCATTTCAGTTGTTGCAGTAACCCAAGATGATCCTTATTCCTAGAATGACAATTTATTTCCTAATATATCCATGAAATTATTGACCTTGAGAGCATGTGATGTTGAGAGGCTGGAGTTCGGTCTTATTTCTGAAGTTACAATAGCAGCCTTTGTAAGGGTCAGTCATCTTTATGACTCCTTTCTTCTCTTTCTCTATGTGTCTGTGAAGAGGGCTCTTATTCGAAATCAAAACTGGGAACTGGAGTGCCGAGTGGTTTGGCAGGTTTGGGACTTTGAAGAGGTCTGAGGCATTCAAAGGCCTTTTTAGGTTCAAACACATGGAAATGCAGACCGGCCAAGTGTGCCCCACTTGTCATACAGCTTCTCCCCACTTGTAAAGAAATTGTTTTTTCTTTAAACATTTGCTCACGGGTGGTCATTAATAATCTTCATTTGGCTTTGGTTTTCCAAGCAATCCCTGAAGAAAACTCATAAAAAGACCCAAAATTGGAAAAAAAAGATGTCAATCACGTCCGACTGGGACAGAACACAAAAAGTTAATCAAAATGTTTTTTAGCTTCACTAATTATTTAGTGTGCTGAAATGCACTTATTTGAATTTTGTTGCATTTTCCCAATCTCTGCTTTTATTCACAGATACCAATTTTGGTAAGCGCTGTAATAATAAAAAGTATAAAAACAGCAACAATAACGTATTTCTCTTAAGCCATAAACGACCAGAAACAGTGTAAAGATTCTGCTGCTGTATGGGATGGAAAAATACGATTTCTTTTCCATACATGTACCACATTTTACTCAGAAAAAATGTGTGACCCTTTTAATTGACCTTAGCATTTTCTTTTAGGATTTAGTTCAGTTGATGGAGCTGGAATTACAAAAACACCAGTGTTTGTGGGTATATTGTAGAGAATCTAGATCCTAACATCTTATTATCCCAGTCGTTGCAGACTCAGCACGTTCCATGACAGTCAGAGGTTAAACTCTCAAAATGATAAAATACTGCATCTTTCCTACACTCATCATCCTGGACGAGCCCCCAATTGGTGATTAAAGACCATAATAAGTAAAGAGAAGCAATGCATGTGAATAACTCAAAATTGTAATTATTGAAGAAAAAAACAAACAGAAACAAAATCCCGAAAATGGCTGGCAGGAGACTAGAGAAAGAAGGAGAGTGATAGAGAAACTCGTACAAGTGGTGCATCTAAGTCCGCCGTGGTGACACTGGCCAGTTTCATGAAATCAGCCTCCAATCAGCGCCAATTTACCTGCAGCTCTGAAACACAGACATTAATACAGAAGGCCAGAGCAAAGCCCTGGGACTGCAACAAGACCTATTTGTGGGGGTTAAAGATCCAGAAGGGAAACCCAGACATCTTTCTCCCCAGTGTGTCTCTACAGCTCACTTTGCAAGTCATTCATTGGCCACAGGGCATATTTAGTGAGTTGGGTACCTTTGCCATTAGCCCTCTCAAAGAGAACAGTAAATGCTTCTTCACCAGATTGAAGGAATGGTTGAATTAAAAGAGATGAAGGTTCAATCCATCAATCTCCTGCTCCAGCCCACCATCACTGATAAACAAGGAACCAAAATACTTACTACTCTGGTTTCATTTATGGTTACATAGCTTACGTGCCGTCTTCTTCCTTCAATAACAGTGACCCTACTGAAG